AGGCTATAAGTATCGGCCAGTGTGTGGAGTAGCCACGGGAACGAAAGTGACCACCCGGATAATATCTGAAAAAAAAGCGAATTGAGGAAACGAAAGTGGCGGTTACCCCCTGAATACATACAGTTTTTCTAGGATATTTTGAGCACCTGGTTATTCGAAGTATCTGGAACGCAGGGTTCTCGACCGATGTAGCTGACAATTTTTCCATTTACTCTGACCAGCGCTGCATTATCGGTGGTCAGCTCACTTCTCCATTCTTCTCTGTTTTGAGCCTCTTTCATCCACGTAACTCCGTGTAGTCGTTCAAGCGGATCCTTCCTCAGCACTGGAGCGGCTTTTTGAGATCAGCTAGTTGCAATTTTTGGCTTCATGTAAACATCATCGTGAACTGTACAGGTGAGCTTCATCCATTTTGAATCATTTCGATCAAAAAATAATTAGAAATATTGAAAATTCTCGAAAAAATTTGCATATTCAAATTTCTGCTATTAACCAATTGTGCAACTCTGGAACGCACATTTCACAATTCATCTTCACGCGGCTATGGTGCGGCGGCGTCATCTTTTATGGGCATCGTTCACTGCTTCACAACTTCACTCATTGGCACTCGGTCTTCTTGGCATTGCCGGTGTGTCGTTGACAGTCACAGCAGCACTGATGTCAATTATGTTGCTTCTAATGCGAACTGAGCTTCCGAGCGGCATACGCGTATGGGATAACGATGATAATGCGGAATGCGCTAAACCCGGTAGGTGTCATTCATATGCCAAATTACATCAGTTTACGTTGACAAATGTCGCTTTGCATCACAGCGCGTCAGTGACGAAAACGCCGTATCAAGTATCAAGTTACATAGGCGAATTCAGGACGGACCCCTGAGGAGGCGACCGGGGATGGGAAGGGAGTGGGCCCCTGAAGGGAGGGGGGAGGTGACGGGGGTGGGAAGGGGAGCCCCCTCCCGCTCTGAAACCATGCAAAAACTAGGAATAGAGTTGTAACACTACTACTTAGAGTTACTTTAAGCTTCGGTTTATTTTATTTTTAGCTTAAGTTCTGGGTTTTTGCAACACTGGTGCTGTGCCGTTGAGGAGAGGGGAGGGAGACCCTTCGAGTCCGCCTAAACTTATTGGTATTACTAGGATGCATTCCAGACGCCAAACGTAGCTTTACTAGACTCTTCGATCCTGAACTATTGCGTACCTTCAACTAGCACCCAACCGTCTGTTCGATGTAACTGCGCCACCTCAGTGCAGATAATATAGATATATTTGAAAATCAGAGAAACAGAAGGTTTATTGTTTTCCTCAGTTTTTTCAATTTTTCCTCACTTTTTCCTCAAATTTTTTATGGCATCTCAGTGGTTATTAGAGGTGTTAAATTTGGATAACACGAGCGTGTTTTCATTGAAATTTCGCATTTTTCGCATGGATTAAAGCCTCTCGAAATACATTAGTATTGAGTGGATTTGAAAAAAATAGCTGTGACGGGTTCCCAATCATATTTGTGTCCAGGAGTTCAGGAAGACGATCTTTGCGAGGGTTTTTTAAAACTTTTTTGGTGTTTTTTTCTCACATGACGTAGAGTACCACTAACGGAACGTGAATGTTGCATTTTGCACTGCTAGTCCGGAAACAACAATTTCATTTGATCGAGTTGAGCAGACAGCCCCCCAAAATACCGTACTATTAGGCTAAGGAAAGTTTTGTTTTTTTTTCATAAAATTTCAGATCAGTGTCAATCTCCCCTTCATTTCATTCTTAGCAAGAATCGGGGGCATTCAGCAGACCTAAGCGCTGGATACATACAAATTAAGTAATCACTGCTTTATTTGGATCAAGCGATCAATCGAAATCCGCAAAATTTCTTTGCCCCTACTTTTTCCACAACAGCTTCAAAACAGGCCTTGGCGAAAAATCAGAGTACAACGATTTAAAATCAAACGCTTGGCCAGTTGCTGAGAAACAGGTGCCATGAGTTTCTGTTACAGCCTTAACTCATAGACTGTGCAAGATTTCAGAAGTTAATTTTAAACAAGCTTGTGTCACGAAGAAAAGAGCTGAAAACTTAATATGGGTTTTTAGTTTTCTAATTTCTCCGGTCAGAAAAATTCACATGTGTTCCTTCGGAGTTTCAAAGTAGATACACACACACACACACACACACACACACACACGCACATGCACACAAAACAACTGTGTGAATTATCCAAATACACATGACCTCTCAGTTAGATGTTGTGGGAATATTTTCAGGATTCTTGGTGTTTCTTAAAAAATTCAAAATTTAAGAAAAAACCGGACACGTGCCGTTTCTCCGCTTATATCTTCAGCACGATAGCATCAGTGCAAGCGGTGTTAAGCCAGGACTGTACACATAAATTTGTTCCTGGAGGACCCTCCCCCTCTTATCTGATGGCTAAATAAATTCAGAGGATTTTTTTATGCGTTTCTGTCTGATGAATGTTGTATGCCCATCTGCTTCTGCTTGCTTTCAATGTTGTAATAATGTAATCCAATTCCATGCCTCTCTCCTTTCTCACCCTTTTTTATTTGCACTTTTCCGAATTTTTGCAACGAATTACAGTATCTTTCTGTTGCAAGCTGAACTGTAAAATAACCATATGTATAATGGAAAGTTATAATAGGAAGGAATGAAATAAAGAGGAAAAAGAAAGAGGAAAGTAAGAAATGAAAATTCGAAAATTTGTGAGATTATTATAATAGTAAGAAGTGTTTCGGTCCATTAAGTCGTATACATTTCTTACCATTACCACAACTGGACCTTGTCAGTACGACGATTGTGGTTATTAAAGTTGGTGAAAGTTAGGGCTAAATTAGTCGTGTAATGCAAGTTAGTAGTGGATGAATTGCTATAGAAGATGGGTGGTAATACAAGTATTAAAATCGTTTAATTGGTCAATATGATGGAAAAAGTAACACCACGAATATTAATATAAAGAGCATAGTGTGTGCAGTAATGTGAATACGTACCAAAATCGCCTAGGCAATCAGTGTAGGTATCTTATGTTAATGATGTCACTGAAATGCGCCAGTTGTTCTGGTCCTGAACTGCATACCTCTAACCGGCTA